ATACACTGTGGTGATAAACTACTACTGTAGCCACAGCTGCCCTGGGGCACACTGACAGAAGCGAGGAAACCAGTATGCCATCGGCCCCTCCCACCACCACCAACCATCCACCCACACCAGATACATTCTAATGTGGGGGAAGTGTCTTGCCTCAGGACACAACAGCAGTTTGGCACTTTACTGCCGCCCCACTGTGGCATCAGGTGTTCCCAGAGGTAAAGTGTGTAGCCCAAGGACACAACGACAGCAGACATCAGTGGGAGTCAGTGAGGTATCTTGAGTTGGGCTCGAACCCACAACCTTCAGGCTCAAAGGCCAAAAAAGGGGAAAAAGGTTTCGCTTATAAACATTGAACATTTGATTTCTGATTAACTGCAGCTGTTGATTTTCCAGAAGCAACCGTGAAAGATGTGATTTCAACACAATTAATCCGGCGACCTTATAATCGAGATGCGGCATTGTGTGCAGAAATAATTACAGCCAACTTTCTTCCACTACTTTCCCCCTCAACACGTTTAGCTTCAGATGCGGACCACGCGGATCGCACGGTCATTGCTCTGACCATTACTGGTGAATGTTGCTATGGTGACATCCCACCAGAACGGTAATTACAATTAACATCCCATCTGAAATGACCACCTCCTCCATCCCCCAGTGTCTCCTGGGTAATTGCTGCTCTCGTCCTGTGACCGATCTCTTTCATATCGAAGCTTCAGGATCTAGAAAAAAGAACACACAAAAAAACCAATTGAGTTCAATATGTATATAATATATAATATTTTTGTGCAGCCAAAAATCACAAAAGTAGTCATCTTGAAGTACAAAGTTGTTGATTCACCAACACAGATCAGAGAATCAAACTGTTCTAACATCCGGAAATCTATAAGGGGCAGATTACCAATGTCCATAATGTCATGATCCTCCTGTGTTCTCCCCCTCCCTTGCGTGTGCGTGTGCGTGTGCGTGTTTAGCAATCAATCTGGGAGCAGCCTTCACCAGCTGCACTCACTCACCACCTGCAATCCATCCACAATCAAGCTCTCCATACCCGGCTCTTCCACCACTCGCTGCCAGTTTGTCAGTTCACCAACCGTGGTAACTATGCTCGTGGCGCTTGTTTGTGGTTTACCAAGTGTTGCTATTTTCTCACTTTCCTGTTTTTTACCTGCACCGATACCTAGTGATGGCAATATGAAGCCCCATGATGCATTGAGGGTTTGCAGCCTATTACTCGGCCCATGGTTCGAAGGCTCGAGGTGAATCATGCTCCACTACGCCATCATGTGGACAAAAAATATATAACACTCTTAAGTGCTTACAGTGAATGGTGGGGTCTAATATTGATATTTACAGTCTAGGATCTAAACATGTTGTGTTTGAAATGATGCTTCATGAAATATGAACTATTTGAGTCTTTCAGTCAATTGTGTTGAAACAACAAACATTGGATCCAAAGCAATGCAGTTTTACAAAAAGTGTTTAATTGAGGAAAAACTACCATGAGGTGGATTAATTAAACACAACAAACCATTTATTCCCAATAATTAAATATCTTTACTTTGACTCAAACTATTTTTTGTATTTGCAAAAGGGATTCGAACAACATATTGTCGACATCAGAATCCAGCAACTACCAACTGTGCCACGCAACTGTTACATGATTTGTGATCCAACGTATTATTAACTTAAACAAAAGTAAAACATCGTGGCATTAAGGCAAACCTGGATATATGAAATTGAGGTTTTACTAAAGTGAGGCATTTTTAATTGTATTTCATATGAAGTAGATTTGCTGTACTTAAGTACAGGACTGCTACACATCACGCACACACACGTATGTAACACAGAGACACACACAGAGACAGGCGGGTACAGCCGCGGATCACAAAGTACCTGTCAAAGGGATGCACTCTCCGAACTAAATGAAGCACCGAACGTTTTCGAACGTCACCAACACACGCCTCGCTTAAAAAAAAAAACTCCCCTTGATTACTCGGTACACGCTTTGAAGACTCGGCACACTCAGCCCATCACTACCGATACCTACCAGTGCCCAGCCTCTGAACCTACCTGCACCTCTGGACCCAGCCGCGGCACGGTGGCTGAGTGGATAGCACTCTCGCCTCTCAGCAAGAAGGTCCTGGGTTCGAATCCCGGTTGGACCAGGGCCTTTCTGAGTGGACTTTGCATGTTCTCCCCGTGTCTGCGTAGGTTTCCTCCGGGTGCTCCGGTTTCCCCTACCACTAAAAATATGTACAATAGGTCTGGCATGTGCCTCCTGTACTGGCACCCCCACTCCCAAAAAATAACAATTGTAAACCGCTTTGAGACTCCGATGTGCAGTGAAAAGGCGGTATATAAATAAAGATTACTTACTTACTTACCCTTGGACCCCCCCAGCCAAACCCTCACTTGTAATAAATTGTTTAATCTTCAACTGTGTCTGGTCGTGCTCTTGGGTTCTTCTCGTTCCTGTAACACATAAATGTCAATGAAGTCCATAAATGTTGTTGAATCTGATCATCACTACACAATATTTGGCCATATACCTACAAGTGAAAACCAGATTTTGTGAGACATCACAAGCAGTGCAGGGCAGGGCCTGGTTAATACTGTGATGGGAGACGTGTGTGTGTGTGCGTGTGTGTGCGCGCCAAGATTGAGCATGAAGCCGAATCATTAAACTCTTAAGCTTAAACGAGAAAAAAATACATCTGCTGGCAATAGCAGATGTATTTTGAACTTCATAAGCCACAAGCTATATATCATTTTAAAGCTTATAGCTTTCTCAGCTATATTTATATGTAAGTGTGAACGATATCAGACTTTGCATTAAAAAGATATAACGCATAATATGGGCACAAAATAAATCGTGTTTGTATAAGTTTCTTACCTTTTGTCTTCTGCTGCTCCAACAAATTAGACTTTCCCCATCCTTGCTTAGTCTCTTTCTCTCCATAAGTCTTCATTGAAAAAGAATATCCACTTGTATTTCCCAAAGTATAATCCATTCTTCAGAAATAATCCAAAAATGTGCATTTTTGAGCTTTGTTTACCCCCACAAACATCATATCCACGTGTTCCTTGAGTCCCTTGTAAAAAAGACAAACCGCATCCACTTGCAGAGGGTCCGTTTTTGCCTTGTTGATTACAGGCTAGCGCTATGTGCTAGCACTGAATGATTGACGCGTCTAAGTAGCCAATAAAAATAGCTTTATTTTGATGGGTGGGACTTGTAGGAACTCTTTTCATTTTCACAGTAAAAGCGTGCGTAAAGACGCTGTTAGTACTGCTGCGCATATTTTATATGCATTTACACTACAAAAAAAATAAAAAATATGCTTTTTATGATGGTGAAATATTAGTAAAGCAGTTTGGCACAATTTGGCACGCATTTTGCCAAATTGGTTCCGAATGGCACTACTTGATAAAAAGAGAAACTGCATAAAAACTATAAAACTTAAAAGTCTGAAACTTTACACACTTTACAACACAATGAACAAATTAGCGCTCAAAATTTTCTTCTTCCAATGAAGAAGGTTTTTTAGGGCATTTATACATTGAATTTTTTAGGCGAGGCTAAAAAAAACAGGTTTTTTTCCCAAACTTCAAAGGATGCAGAGTAAAATAGGAATGACATACATTATTTCAGTGTATATTTACATAAACTAGAAGGGCCTAGCTTTAAAACTATGCATCACACAAGCATGTGAGATGTAAGATGTGTTTTTAAATAAGCAAAGACATTTGGGTATGCCCAACTTTTGTGCACGTGCCAAAACAGATGCAGGAGTTTAAAGTGATTGTCTGGAGTTTGTCAGAAAGAGAGACAGAGAGGTACTTGATTTGAAAAAAACGACGCAAGCTCCCTCCCCCTTCCTTTCTGATTGGTCTACACCTACGTTTCCATAACACTTTGAAATGTTAATCAGAGAACATATAATACATATACATTATTAATACACATGCACGGAGGTTTTCAGAATTATTTGTGAACGTTTTAATGAAAAAAAATGTGTTTTTATGCACACAAAAAAGCGATCGCGGCAAACCAGGAAGTGCTATTATTATGAATTGCACATTATAGGACGCATCTGCAGAGGATCTGATTATGGATATAGGTTCAGTATATACATAAGTACCTCAGCGGGATGTTCAGAATTCTTTGTTCAGTTTTCATGTAGTTCCAGAGCCTAATAGAGGCTTGATTCGGAGGCTCCGCGAAAACAAACAACTGCGCATGCGCGCAGCTGCAGCATCAGCGCCGATGATTGACAGCCCTTGGCATGACTCGATTGGTTAACCTCGACGGCACCGTGGATTCTGAACTATAGCTAAGAGCAGGGAAGGCGGGACTTACCCGTAATATTAGAATTAATAAAATGACTTATTTTATATTAAAATTTAAGGCCAGGAGGTCATTTCCTAAAATTTGTAATTCCTTTAGAGTTACAGACTATCACTTTAAGAGGCATGTAAACACAACATCAACACCATAAAAACAGCTGTGTTTTTATCAAGCCACAGTAATACACTGCAAAAGTGATGAAAAATAAGTCAAAAATTGCAATAATTTGGCAAAATGTGTCTGGATTTAAGCACATTTTGACTGCCTTAAGACAAGATTTGCCAACCGAAAATGATTTCAAGAAGATACACAAAATGTCTCCCTTTGAATCAGACTAAATGGTTTTGTCCCATTGGAGAATCTTGTTTTAAAAAAGTCACACCGTACTCAAATTAAGATAAAAACCACTCAATTCAAGTAACTTACCTCATATTTCATATAATAACTATATTTTTCCACACTTTCTGGTTATAGAAAACACCACTGTTACCAGAACGTTCCAAATGAAATGTGAACAATATAGAAATACTGTCTGGTTGAGTCATAAAACTTCTCTTAGCATTTTCTATCGACATAAAACAAAAACATTGTAAACTAGACTTTGCATCAGTCAAACATAAAGCCACGACACCAGTGAATCCTCTGTTGAAACTCAAGGGTTTAACCGACCAGACAATGTGGAACTCGGCAGCTCAATGTTTCGCGGAGGTGAGTTTTGCAGCTTACGGAGATCTCCTGCTCCCGTCTCATTCATCCTGCCGGACAGGAGAAGGCCGCAGAGTCCCTTCCTCTCGCCCTAATTGTGTCCACATTACACCAGGGAATCAGAGACGACCCAAACATGTGCTGTCCTGCCTGCATTCTGTCACCACCGGCCTCTTTTGTATGGGTCATTATCCCTCCCCTGTGTGTGTGTGTGTGTGTGTGTGTGATCCCTCTTCACTTCACTGAGTCTGATTGTCAATAAATCCTCCATTCCATGCCTCCTTCTCCAGAGCCAGACATGCACCAGCAGAGCAGCTTTGGAGGACACAATGGATAATAAAAATAACATGCTTCATTGGCTTTAAATTAACTGAATCTAACGTCCAGAACTCGTAGACGTTATTGACCAGAGCAGGTAACAAGTTGACAACACATAAAACACGCACAGACACACAATAGACATGGAAAATTATTAAATGGACATCTGCAGCTTATGGACCAATGTCTATGTGTTTCTATCATTGCATTCTTGTGTTTTTTCTCTGATCTATCTTAGCAAATTGGCTGCTTTCCTCCAAGAAAACTGATTTAGGGCTATATAAAAATACATACATTGAATTGAATGGACGATTTATCCAAATGTGTAATAAGAAGTCAAATCCAGAACACTTATTTATGCATTAGCCAAGCAACAACAGCAGTAGTCTCAAAGGGCGACCTGGAATTGTTGATTTGCCAACAGCAAATTAGAAAATGTGAAAATCCACGTGACCAGAATGTAGCGAAACTATTACTACTTATCCTGTACTGGCGACCCCGCTCCCATCTCTGTGTGGAGAGAGAGGACAATTGCCCAAAAATAACAATTGTAAACCGCTTTGTGACTCTGGTCTGTGAAAGGCGGTATATAAATAAACATTACTTACTACTACTTACAAAGACAGGAAGATGGGTCCAAGTTGTCGCCCGAAACATGTTAACATGTCTTCATTACACGGCTCCTCATAGCAGCAGCAGAACCATTGATTTGAATGTAGTTTCAAAACGTTCTACCTATCATTATTTCTTGATAACCGACCTCTCAAAACAATAATGACCGCTGCCCTTTGGAAACGCACTCTCTGCTTGTAATTCAGATGTATAGATTACTCCGCAAGTAGTTCCGACCACTTAGATCAGATTCAGTTTATTTGCCATTTGCAGTAAAAAAACCACATTGGAATACATTAGCAAAAGTCTCCAGTGTGCACAGACAAATACAAACATAAAACAACATTAAAAGACAAAAATAAAACAAATAAAACAGTAAACAAATGTCACTGAGAAATGGATCGACTAAAACAGTTTCAAAACAAGTGCAAATCATTAAAGTGCTCTGTTCACACTGATAACAGCCTGTGGATAAAAACTGTTAGCGTAACGAGATGTCCTGCATCTCAGAGAGCGATATCTTCTGCCAGAGGGAAGAAGCTGGAACATGGCTTTCCCAGGGTGGCCAGAAGAGTCATTAACAATCCTAAGAGCTTTGTTTAAAAGTGTGGATTTATAAAGAACCTCCAGAACAGGAAGCTCACAGCCCACGGTCCTCTTTGCAGAGCGGAGCACCTTGTTTAAAGCTCTTTTATTTATCTGTGATGTTTCCAAACCACACAGACACAGAACCAACAAGTAAACTCTCAATGGTGCAGCCACAAAAGTTAAGCACAATCTTAGTTAGTGGTAAATTCTCTAAGTTTACGCAGAAAGTAGAGACGCTGACGAGCTTTCTTAACGACTCGGTCAGTGTTTTTAACCCATTTCAGGTTAGACAGAGTTAAACCCAGAAACTTGCTCCTCTACGATCTGCACCTGGGAGTTGTCGATTACGACAGGCAAATGAGAACTATTGTGACTGAAGTCGTAGACCAGTTCACATGTTTTGGATGCGTTCAACTGGAGGTTGTTAGTTTTACTCCACTGAACCACATTTTGTATCTCTGCTCTATAAGAGGATTCATCAGTGTCACTGATGAGACCGATGATGGTGGTGTCATCAGCATATTTGATGATCAAGTTTGAGTCAGAGGAGGACACACAATCGTGAGTGTACAAAGTAAAAAGCAAAGGACTCAAAATACATCCCTGAGGAGAACCAGTGCTCACAGAAACAACATCAGAAAAACACTCATTGATTTTCACTCTCTGAGATCTGTCAGTTAAAAAGCTAAAAATCCATTTACACATGGCAAAACTTAAACCGAGAGACATGAGCTTTTCAATCAGTTTACCTGGGACAAGGCAGTTAAAAGCAGAGCTATAATCGATGAAAAGCATCCAAGTGACTGTAGACAGAGTTCAGAGCAAAGGAGATGCATCCTCCACACTCCTGTTCTGTCTGTAGCAAACTGGAGCGGGTCAACACTCACAGGGATCTGGCTCTTAATGAAGTCCAACACAAGCCGCTCAAAAGTTTTCATAATGTCTGTTAGCACAGGAGCAAGTTGCTCAGAGCACAGTTTCAGGACACGAGGAGGGATGCCGTCCGGGCCTGGGGCTTTCCGGACTGTGGTCCTGGACAAGACACGCCTGACTTCCTCCTGAGTCACGGTGAAGGGACCTTGATTGAAACACTCAGGGAATACAGTAGGACAGGCATCAGCAGATTCAAAGCGACAGTAGAACGTGTTCAGCTCGTTTGGCAGAGCTTGGCCGACAGATGCAATTTTCCCAGCGCTAGGTTTCCACGATGTGATGGCTTTAATACCGTTCCACATGCGCCGAGGGTCATCTTCCTCAAAATAACTCTTTAACCTGTACCCATAACTGCGCTTTGCAGATTTAATAGAACGTTTCAATGAGTAACAGGATAGCTTATAAGCAACTGTATCATTTGATTGAAACGCCAACGCACGCTCATGAAGTTTCAGTGTCACTTCCGCGTTCATCCAAGGGTTTTTACTAAAATGTTCTTTAATGACCTTCTGTGGGACACAGCAGTCAATACAGAAGCGTATGTATCCAGACACAGCGTCACAGAATTCATTGACGTCCTCTGACTGAAACACAGACCAGTCCGTAGCATCAAAACAACCTTGTAGCTTCATGCTAGCCTCCTCAGACCAACACTGCACAGTGCGAGAGGTTGGTTTATGTTCCCTGCTCCTCTGAGTATATGAAGGAAGAAGGAGAACAGAGGAGTGGTCAGACTTTCCAAAAGGAGGTCTGAGACTGGACCTGTAAGCTCCCTTCACGTTACTGTAGCAGTGATCCAGAACATGTGCTCCTCTTGTAGCTCGAGTCACATGTTGGTAAAAGTTCGGGAGTACAGTCTTTAAATCACATTTATTGAAATCCCCAGCAACAATGATGACTGCGTTAGGATGAGCAGACTCATGTTTGTGAAGGATCTGGCTCAGATCCTGTAGGGCTACTTTGTAATCCGCATGTGGGTGAATGTAAACAGCACGTAAAAATATCACTGAAAACTCACGAGGAAGATAAAAAGGGCGGCAGCTCAAGACCAGGCATTCCAGATTGGCAGTACATGTTTGGTTCACGACTCGAGTGTCCGTGCACCAGCGCTGATTAATTAAAAAGCACACACCTCCGCCTCTGGCCTTGCCCGTGGTCTCCTTCACTCTGTCCGAGCGGTGAGCGGTGAATCCCGGGGGCTGAACAGCAGAGTCCGGGACGTTCGAGTGGAGCCACGTCTCGCTGAGGCAGAACACAGTCCCGGGCCTCGCGCTGGCTCTGGACCCGACACAGGAGCTCGTCCGTCTTGTTGGGCAGAGACTGGACGTTGGCCAGGTAGATGGAGGGCAAAGGGGTCCTGGAGGAGCGGCTACGAACGAGCAGACCGCCTCGCCTTCCCCGGTGTCTGCGCCTCCTTCGCCGACTCGAGGTGCCCAGCTCCACACCGCGGAGAGAACGGCCCGCCTGCCGTGCTCCACCTGCCGTGCTCCACCAGCCTCTCGAGTGGGACACTCGAGGAAGTTTGTGCACCTCAGTTCAGGTAAAACGAGTGACCCGTCACCCGCGTGATCCCGAATGTGCAGAAGTGTTTGCCGATCATATTTCACTGTGGCAAGTTAATCCCAGACGAAAAACAACAAAACACAGATTGTGCGCACCAGAGCGTTCACTGCGGCGCCCTGACACGGCGCCATCTTGCTAGTCCTCATGCTCTCTCTCTCTCTCTTAGTCGCTACTGTCTCTGCGAGAGATGCTATCGGAGCTAGCCACGCTCAATAAACGCAAACACCAATTGATCAACACATTCAGATTTTAATCAGAGAATACATTATACCTATACAGTGCCTTGCGAAAGTATGAACCTTTCAACATTTCGCCACATTTCAGGCTTCAAACATAAAGATATAAAATTATTTTTTTTTGTCATGAATCAACAACAAGTGGGACTGTGAGGCAGGTCGGCGTGAGCGGGTTGGAGTGCAGTTAAAAACAATCAAAAACACAGAGAGGTCGCCGTGGTCCACATATTTTTACAAACAGGCAATAACGTGCAGGAGTGCAAATGGAGTGCTTCCTCTCCAGCAGTAGCGCCCAGACTGAAGATTCCCAGGTCCTTTTATCTGGTGCCGACTGCTGGGTAAAACCAAGTCGTAAAAGCAGGGGTGTTAAAATATGCTTAGCTTTAGTAAAACAACTTAAAACTCAATTTACAAAACCCAAACCCATAACTCATCTAAAATACCCATATACCATTTATACTATAAGCCTAAAACCAACACCGAGTAATATTAAACATTTTAACTATTAAAATACCCCCTCCAACTCCCCCATACAAAATCCATGTGGTCCTGTGGCCCGGAACCATAAAAGGGGAACTCGTTCCTGGTGGGACCCTTTTGCCTACCGGACACAGAAAAAGTAAGTACACACCACACACCCCACATATATACACATCTTCACTAAACCCATTTAAAATACACAAACAAACACTTTAAACACTCTTTAACAGATATTGCACCTATTGCACATATAATTTAGGGATTGGCTAAAATAAGTTACTGTTTTCCTTTTCCCTCCAGGGACCAGCTGCAGCCAATTACATGCCAGCACCTCTGGATAAAAATATGGTAAAAAGGAAAGACCTGTTAAATAAATATTTTAAAACCAACTCCGTGCAATGTTCTTTTTGATGTGCAAATATGCTTAAAGTGCTGTGTGCTATAAAGGTGACTTGTGTATCCAAAGTGGCTCAGTGAAGGTGCAAGTGTACTAAGTAACAAAGTCAGTTGTGAAGTGGAACAAAATTTATTGGATAATTTAACAAATAAAAAACTGAAAAGTGGGGCGTGCAATATTATTCGACCCCTTTACTTTCAGTGCAGCAAACTCACTCCAGAAGTTCAGTGAGGATCTTTGAATGATCCAATGTTGTCCTAAATGACTGATGATGATAAATCACCTGTGTGTAATAAAGTCTCCGTATAAATGCACCTGCTCTTTGATAGTCTCAGGGTTCTGTTTAAAGCGCAGAGAGAACCATGAAGACAAAGGAACACACCAGGCAGGTCCGAGATACTGTTGTGGAGAAGTTTAAAGCCGGATTTGGATACAAAAAGATTTCCCAAGCTTTAAACATCTCAAGGAGCACTGTGCAAGCAATTATATTGAAATGGAAGGAGTATCAGACCACTGCAAATCTACCAAGACCCGGCCGTCCCTCCAAACTTTCATCTCAAACAAGGAGAAGACTGATCAGAGATGCAGCCAAGAGGCCCATGATCACTCTGGATGAACTGCAGATAACTACAGCTGAGGTGGGAGAGTCTGTCCATAGGACAACAATCAGTCGTGCACTGCACAAATCTGGCCTTTATGGAAGAGTGGCAAGAAGAAAGCCATTTCTCAAAGATATCCATAAAATCTCTGGTTTAAAGTTTGCCACAAGCCACCTGGGAGACACACCAAACATGTGGAAGAAGGTGCTCTGGTCAGATGAAACCAAAATCAAACTTTTTGGCCACAATGCAAAACTATATGTTTGGCGTAAAAGCAACACAGCTCATCACCCTGAACACACCATCCCCACTGTCAAACATGGTGGTGGCAGCATCATGCTTTGGGCCTGCTTTTCTTCAGCAGGGACAGGGAAGATGGCTAAAATTGATGGGAAGATGGATGGAGCCAAATACAGGACCATTCTGGAAGAAAACCTGTTGGAGTCTGCAAAATACCTGAGACTGGGACGGAGATTTATCTTCCAACAGGACAATGAGCCAAAACATAAAGCCAAATCTACAATGGAATGGTTCACAAATAGACGTATCCAGGTGTTAGAATGGCCAAGTCAAAGTCCAGACCTGAATCCAATCGAGAATTTGTGGAAAGAGCTGAAGACTGCTGTTCACAAACGCTCTCCATCCAACCTCACTGAGCTCGAGCTGTTTTGCAAGGAAGAATGGGCAAGAATTCCAGTCTCTCGATGTGCAAAACTGATGGAGACATACCCCAAGCGACTTGCAGCTGTAATTGCAGCAAAAGGTGGCGCTACAAAGTATTAGCGCAAAGGGGCCGAATAATATTGCACGCCCCACTTTTCAGTTTTTTATTTGTTAAAAAAGTTTCAATTATCCAATAAATTTCGTTCCACTTCACGATTGTGTCCCACTTGTTGTTGATTCTTGACAAAAAAAAATAAATTTTTATATCTTTGTTTGAAGCCTGAAATGTGGCAAAATGTTGAAAGGTTCGAGGGGGCCGAATACTTTCGCAAGGCACTGTACATTCTCAATAAATGTGTACGGAGGTTTTCAGAAGTATCTGTTGAGATTTTCCTGACAAAAAATGCGAGAAAAACCCGGAAGTAGATTCCGGGACATTTTAGGAACATTTGCAGAGGATCAAATTATGGATTAAGGTTAAGTTTATGTTTGGGTCACTCACCGCTGATGTTCAGGATTCTTTGTTCAGTTTTCATGCCGTTCAAGAGAGTTCTAGTTTGGAAGTTACTAGCCTAACTGTTACTAGCCCAACTGTTACTAGCCCAGCTATTGCTAGCAGTGGCGGCTGGTGATAAAAAATTTTGGGGGGGCGCACTGGCAACAATAAACTACTTGCTGTCACGGTGGTGTGTTGATGTGGACCCAAAGGCAGGGAGGAATGGAAGGAGGCAGACAGGTGAAAGGTTAACAGATTTAGTGATGGATAAACTATTTACAACAATAAACTATAACATTAAACTACTAGCAACAATAAACTATTTACAATAAAACTATAACATTAAGCTATTTATAACATTAAACTACTAGTAACAATAAACTATAACAAACTATAACATTAAACTATAACATTAATCTACTAGCAACAATAACATTAAGCTATTTATAACATTAAACTACTAGCAACAATAAACTATTTACAACAACAAACTACTTGAACATGAATTTTGCTCTCCTCTCTTTCAGGCTAGCAAATCTTTCAATTACTCTCTGATTGAAATTGGTCATTTGACAGATTAGTCTCTTTTCCATTGAGAGCATGGCCAGGGCATTCAGCCTTTTCCTGGGTCATGGTGTTTCTCAGAAAAGTTTTCACCCTTTTTAAGGTTGAGAAGCACCTCTCTGCTTCAGCTGTGGTCATAGGTGTGGTAATAAGGATCTTTAAAAGAGTGACCGTTTCTGAAAAAACATCTTGAAGATTGTTCTCCATGAACAGCTGGAACAGGTCCACTGCACCACAACAGGCTCTGAACTCTGCTTTGCTGTAGATGAGACTGAGCTCTGTCTTGAGCTTGCTTCCATTCAGCATTGGGTAGGCCTTCAAAGTGCTTTGCAGCACCTCTTCGGGAAATGACCCGTGATGTTCCTCAAACCTGTCCCCCTGCAACAAGGTGGCACAGACAAGATGGTCGGTGAAGTTGAAGCGCTCCCTGGTGTGTCTCAGAATGGTGTTGCAGATCTACAGAGAGAATACAAAAACAGAGAGAAAAAATAGATATTAAATTAATTTACTTTTGTTGACATTGTTACCCTCTGTTGCTGCATGGTTTTGAAAAAACATCTTGCTATTATTGACAACTGCAACTGTGATATGATTTTTAATATTTTAATTAAACATTTAGGTTAATTGTGATTAGGAGATGAACTAAATCATCTCTGTAACATGACATATTTAAAATGGTATTTAAATAGCTATTTCATAAACTATGACAGATTTCTACAACATAAACTCACCTCTTCTGCGGCACTCTGACGATCCTCGGAACTGAGTACCCGACGCCGTTTTGCTGTCAGAGAGCCACTGCTTTGCTCACTCATGGAATGGAGAGAATTTCTGTGAAGAAGAAGTCATAAAAATGATCAAAAAGTTGAAAAGAGATAACAATTAAAAATGTGATGATTATATTATTGACATATTACCTGATGTTTTGTATGTCCTGTTCGAACGGCTGGATGCTCCTTTTGATGTGGACTGCATCTATGTTCTTCTTCTGGAGCTTGGCATAGAGGAGGTCCACAAGTGGCATGATGTGGTGAAAAAGTTCCAGGAAGAATTTAAAGTCCTGATGTTCCAGCAGCATGGCCATGGCTCCTGCCTCTCTGATGGTGTTGGAGTCAAAGTCACCCGAATCTCGTATGTTCTCAAAACATTGAATGAGATCATCTCTCTGCTCAAACACAGTGTTGATGGCTCGGCTGTGAAAGTTCCATCGGACATTGCTGGATGTTGGCAGTCTACGGGCCACCGTTTTATCAAGGACAGCCGTACGCTTGGGTGACCTGGAAAAAAAGCTCGCAAATCCACCCAGGTCAGAAAAAAAATTTCTCACATTGGAAATGTGAGCGGTGGCCTGTTGCATGATCAGGTTGAGTTGGTGTGCATAGCAGTGGATATAATGGGCATTTGGGTACACATCTTTGATCTTCCTCTGAACACCTGCATTGGCACCCCTCATCACACTGGCTCCATCATACGCCTGGCAGATTAGCTTGCTTTTCTGATCCTCAGGAATGATAGCAGCAAGACGCTCTGATAATGCAGCAGCAATGGACTCTGATGTAGCTGACTGCAGAGGAATGAACTCGAAAAATCTTTCCTGCACACTGTGCTTGTCATCAATGTAGCGTAGTACAAGCACAAGTGGGGACTGTGTTGAAATATCTGTTGTCTCATCTGCCTGGATTGATACAAAAACACTCTTTTGAGCTTCTTCAATGATTTGCTCTCTTGCAACAGACAACATACAGTCCAAGAGTTCATTTTGGACAGTTTTGGAAGTACCCTTGAAAACAGTGGCAGTCTCAAGGTGCTCTTTCAAAGCTCCATCCAGAGAGGCAACAAAATCGACCAATCCACAAAATATCCCAGGGTTCACAGAGCTCTCACTCTCATCGTGGCCACGTAAAGCCAACTCAAAGGCCCCACAGAATTTCACACAGTCAATTATCCTGGACAGAACATGACGATTTTTTGTCACCTCTTCGTTGTGCCTTCTAATGCCAACTCTGTAGCCCTCGTCTAATTGTTCAGCAATGCTAACGCGGCCAAAAAACTGTAGCTTCATACTATTGTCAATGTGGCAACGGCTACTTTCATGCCGTTTGCATTTTTCAGAGAGATGTTTCAGGTCTCTGACCCCTGTTGTTGCCCACAACACTTCCGTGCCAAGCAGTGAAAGCAAAAAAGAGCATTGCTTACTTCGCATCCAGCGAGCCAACTGTGTTTAGCATAACATAGACCGGAGAAGCCTCAGGTGTAACTTCGCCCACGGTCACTTGCCTGCTGCTGGATCTGTAAGCCGGGTTTTTCCGGTCCAAGCTCCTTGGTCCAAGGGGCGACAGTAGCTCAGTTGGTAGAGCATTGGCCTTAAGCCCAGAAGGTCGTGGGTTCAATTCCCACCTCTGCACCTTCTCCACTGACTCCCACTGATGACTGCTGTCGTTGTGTCCTTGGGCAAGACACTTAACCCCACTTTGCCCAAAGCCCCCGCTGAAAGATCAAGGCTATGCTCACACTCAGAGAGCAGCCGTCCTCCTGTGGACTCACCACCTGCAGAGGGTCAGTGAGGGGCTGGTGCTATGAGACTTGGGTGGCATCTCTGACTGCCACCCCCCTGACCCAGAAATGGATTAAAGGGTAGAAAATGGATGGATGGAAGCTCCTTAATCCTTTTTTTTTCCTCCAGCGAACGTCTCGTAAAAGGAAAGTTGTAAAGAAACAACCAAATTTTCTTTGGCTATGTCTGCTGTTTTGTTGTACGTCTGTCTCGCTTCTTCGCCTCCGTAAACCCGCGCGCGGGAGTGTCTATGTTGGAGTGACAAGCGCGTTGCCAGTGACTTTGACTGATAGCCAGGTATCATGAATCAATCAGATTGCAAGAAAAATTAGCCAAGCGCGCTGATTCGCAAGGGACGCAGATCTCTGAGCCCCGAGGAGAATCTTTAAGTGACCAATTAGAGACCAGCATGAAGTCACATGGTAGCCGCAAGTTTGGAAGACACGTACACACTCATTTGGCCGGCGCCCCTTGATATTAAAAACTAATAAAACAACCCAAAATAAATCCAATATGGAATGGAAAGGCTTACAAAAATAAAAGTAAGAACCATTGTATGAGTGAACACTGAACAGATATGGTAATGACTTTTTATTACATAATTTATGTTTACTGTGTGTATTAATTCTTTATGAAATGTTGATGAGGGCGGCGCCCGAGCGCCCCCTATTGACAAGCCGCCACTGGTTGCTAGCCTAACTGTTACTCGCATAGCCATGGGGAAGCCTTTGGGAACTATTTTATTTTCTGTCATTAAATAAACCTTTCGGCAATTATAAAAGTGATTGAAGTTTATTTTGTGTGTTCTGTTGGTACAAAGCCGTATAATAAGCGGGATAATGTACATTACGCAGGTCATTATCGCGTCGGGTCCGCTTCGCCCTGACGGTACTTATGATTCGATAATGACCTGCCTACTATACATTATCCCTTATTTAAAGAAGGACATAAGCAGAAACAAGGCAAAAAGAGACATTTAAGTAGTTGGACTTTTGTTGTAGTCCAAATAGTAATAATAATGGGCGACAGTGGCTCAGTTGGTAGAGCAGTTGGTTGGCCTTTGAGCCTGAGGGTCGTGGGTTCGAGCCCGACTCTCACCATCGACTCCCACTGATGTCTGTTGTCGTTGTCTCCTTGGGCAAGACACTTAACCTCTGGGAACACCAGCCGCAGTGGGGCGGCTGCGGCTGTAAAGTGCCAAACTGCCGTTGTGTGCTTAGGCAAGACACTTCACCCCCATTGCCTAGAATGAGTCTGGTGTGTGTGTGAATGGTTGGTGGTGGTGGGAGGGGCCGATGGCGCAAACTGGTTGCCTCGCTTCTGTCAGTGTGCCCCAGGGCAGCTGTGGCTACAGTAGTTTATCACCACCGTGTTTGGAGTGAAAGAATAATGACATGTAAAGCGTCTTTGAGAGTCCAAAAAAAGCACTGTATAAAACTGTAAAACTGATGCATTATTATTATATGCCTTTGAATATGACCATTTGGATGATTGTTTATAGTAGTGTATTTTTCTAGTGTATTGGAAGAATGGACAATCAGACCTGTGTATAGTGTATTGACAAGAAACTAGACATGCAAAACAAACAAATGATAATACTAGATATTTAACATGAAATAAAAAAGACATTTTTTGAGATCCTATTCTTACTGCACTGCAAAAATGTATGAAAAATCAATCAAAAATGTCTTGAAATAAGACTGAATGGCTTTGTCCCATTGGAGAATCTTTTTTTTTAACACAGTCAGAATGTGCTCAAATTAAGATAAAAAAAACCAAGCAATTTAAGCAATTATTACCTCATATTTTATCAATTTTTTGCAGTGTGATCAAAGCTAACGGACCTCACAATCTTTTTTTTCTTATGAGCTCTCTTCTTGCAGGAATAGAAAGGCATTAGCAAATATAACCAAGATACCAGTTGTGATTAAGTAAGATTAATAGACAGGACTCATTTCGATAAATCTTGTAGCTGTACGAGATGCGTGGCAAAGGAAAGCAACATTCTGTAATTTTGGTACAAAAAACCAGTCTGTACCTGGACGTTTCCATCAAGCAAAAGAGTCTGCTTGTCCAAGTGGCAGTATCTCGAAAGGAGGTTCTGTAATAATAAATCTGGGGACGAATATAAACACTGCAGCGGCCATCAGCAGCAGCAGCAAATTAAATAAAGGCATTTGTCAGCCATATTTTCTCCCCGTTTCTTCGGCTCTGACAGCTCCGACACGCAAAACACAGACACATTTTATTTCCTATAGTCAGCCTTCACTCACTGACAAGCTAACTTAATCAATGTTATTATAGTGGCTGAATATCCGACACCGGGCATGTAATATGTCGAGTCATTTTAGCGCATCTCTGTGGGTCCTAATGGTTCTTCTGCCTGCATTCAGATGGATTCGCTTTTCTTCTGTGATTTGGAGAGGCACGATACACTAAAGCAATATTCAATTTGATTTGATGAATGTAGAATTTTTCCCAGGGTCAACCACAAGTCAAAACATCTGCTATAATTGTCAGACCTGTATAAAAGTGGGTCAAAAACAAAATTTAAGTCAGAAAGTAGTTTGAGAGTTTTATTGGAAAGGTAAAAATCACAAAGTACAATGCAAAAATGATTTAACGTGAGGTAATAAATACTTGAGTAAAGTTGATTTTATCTTAAAGCCCAATTTGGGCAAAACATAACAACATTGACAGACGGTGTGTGACATCAGGGCAGAGGCTGTAGCCAAATACAGACTTAACAAAATGTATGTTTCTAATTTTATACTCCCCTAAATGTGAGTTACAAACCAAAGTTGTCCTCCGCCCAATGACCGCTCACTGCGGTTGGACCGAATCACTGTCAGGACAAACAGCAGAGGGAGGGACTCCCAGTACCTTCAGCAAGGTATTCATCTCAGAGTACTTTCCGCAGAGTACTTTCTCAGAGTACTCATCCCAGAGTACTCTCACTTTTACACCTTTGCAATAAAGCTTGTTATCTTTGAATCTCTAGTACTTACACATTCCATCATTCCATGATCACATTAAAACATTACAGAAAACATTTGTTATTCCATTCTCCGTTCAGCACTCCTCGTCCACTCCTCATTTCACAACACACTCACATCACACTCACACAGGCCGACTCCCCACGTTAGTATATTGGTCCAGAGTTTTGTTAAGGTCAACGTAGTGTACTTGACATGACGCACAAACATATAACATACACAAACATATAACACACACAAACATATAGACAACACAGGAGGCCTGTAATTTTAACTTTGTTATATTTTCCATGTCCAATTACAATTGTCTCTTGAGCTATTTTTATTGTTGCAACTTTCAGAGCCTGCAGAACATGCAGAGCTTTAAGAGATTTTTCTTAAAAGGATCAATTTCAAACTTTAATGTCTAAGCCACGTGGTCTTTACTCGGGCTTGTCACAGACTGTGTCCCCTATAGTTTAATGAGCTCTTGTTGTTACTTTAAAAGTCGTGCACGTGCAATAAATGTTTTTCCTTCTTTTTTTCAGTAAAGCCAGGTCGGAATCATTAAAAATGTAAATTAGTCTCAAACTTTAATACTTCACCTTTGTTTCACGTTCATGTGGAGAAAAGACCGTTGTTCTACGTGTGTTGACGTACTTGCACCAATCATGTCTCAGATAAACTGCCAACAGTTGTATCAAAGACATAATAAAATGTCCCTACATCCGTGTTTTCAACCAATGGACCGTGGTGCGTTAGTGTGCCATCAAAGATGGTCTAATATCACCTTTAGCCAAGATTTAGAAATACTCTATTATTTTCAGACTTTTTTTTTTTTTTTTTTATGATTGTCTGAACAAACCACTTTTGTATTAAATACAACGTCCATTAAACGCTGCAGTTCTCTTTCCAGCACCAGTT